GGGGGTCGGGGGGGGGGTGGAAGGCGCGCGGTCGCTTTGGATATTTTCGGTCCAAAGTCTTCGGGGGGGGGGGCGCGGGCGCCGCGGCGGCCGGGAGGAGTGTCAGCGGGCCCCCCTGGGCGGAAGTAGGGGGTCGTGGCGCGCACCTTTTGATATCACGATGTCAGACAGTGATTGCGATCTTCCGCGACGAAGCGGGCGGCGGCGAGCAGTCTGCTGCACGCTCTGTTGTTTTGGCGGCAATCAGTCCAAATTCTTCAAAAATGCAACCTGACTCAGACACAACATGCATCGCTTCATGCACACCACCTCGTCTCGCCCCACCCGTGCAACGCACGCCAGACGCGACGGCGCATCGATATCGCTCAAAGCCGCCGCGCGGATCCATTCCCGCACGCTCATCGCGCACCACCAGCGCTTCCCTTACGAGTGGGCACTCCAAAGGACTCGGACTGCCCCCACCGGATGGTGCTCAAACAAAGCCGCCGAAATATTGACCTACTCTTCCACTCGCATTCGCCGAAGTCCGCGCCGAGGCCGTCGACATCTCGATGGATGTTGCAAAAGGCTTGCAAAGCACAACATGGTGCCGTGGCGAGCTGAGAGTAAGTAACAACAAACATGTGATTTACAGCGCGAGTCCGGACCGAACGAGTCCGTGCCGAGACGGACTCGCTCGGAGCGGAAGCGACGCTCGCGCGAGTACGGCGCAAGCGACGCGCGCGCGCGGCCGCGAGGCCGCGAGCTCGACCTGTTCGACGTCGAACTAGGCCCTCGCTCCCGCCCTCGCCCTCGCCCTCGCCTCCGGTCTCGCCTCCAGTCTCGCCGTCGCCCGCGCCCTCGCCCTCGCCTCCGCCATGCGCGAGTCCCGCGGATGAGCCACATCGAGCGCTGCAGGCTCGTCCGATAGTATTAGGAGGCGGGGCGCGCCTGCGCAATCGAACCGTTCCACGTCTTGAGCGTGGGGCGCGCCCGCTCGAGGTCGAGCGCCGCGCGCCGCGCGCCGCGGAGGAGCGTCTCGACGGCGTCGCCGGGGACGTCGTCGAGCGCGTACTGCACTTTCACCGCGCCCGCCGCGAGCAACTCTTGCCGCCGCGAGACCTCGTCCGCGGGCATGGCCGCGAGGAAGGCGAGGACGTCGAGGTCGCCCGCGAGGTAGGCCGTCTCGTTGAGCTCGACGACGACGCCGCGCGGCACGAACCAGGGCGCGACGCGCGCGTTGAAGGCGCCGAAGACGACGGGGATGCAGCCCGTCGCGAGCGCGTCGTAGAAGCCCTTGCGGTAGGGCGAGTCGCCGCCGGGCTCGAGGCAGAACGTCGCGCGCGCGTACGTCTCCTCGAGGCCGCAGAAGTGGCGGCCGCGCGCCTTCGCGTAGGGGCCCCTCTCGCCGAGGCGGTTCGCCGCGTGCGGGTGGTAGACGCGACACGCGGCGTTCGGCGCGGCCTTGCAGTCCGCGATGAGCTTCGGCCGGGCCCGCGCGTAGTTGTCTCCCTCGACGGCTCGCGGCTCGCCGACGAAGGACGCGAGCGACGCGCCGTGGGAGCCCGCGCCGACGGCCCAGGGCGGCGTCCGCGTGGACCGCGACGCGTGGATCGACGACGGGTAGGGCACGGAGTGCAGGTGCGGGATCGCCGCGGTGTCGTCGAGCGGGTCCTCCGCGAGCCGCGCGGCGACCTCGTCGTCGTCGAGCCTGAAGGGCCCGTAGAACGGCAGGCCCGGGCGGCCGCCGGCGTCGTAGGCGTCCGAGTAGGCGAAGCGGAGCGCGCGCCGCAGGAGCCCCTCGGGCCTCCGCCACCAGGGGTCGCAGCCGTCCTCCGCGGCCTTGGGCGCGCCTACCAAGTGCGACGGGGTCGGATTTCTTCACATCTTCAGGCGAAATTCACGCGAAAAAACACTCCTGTCGCTCGACGCTGGGGCGCGCCCTTGGACACGAGGAAGACGTGGCGGTGCGCCGTCCGCGCGTCGAGGTATTTGAGCGACGACGCCAGCCCGTCCGTCTCGCCCGCGCAGGCGCGCGCCCAGTCGCGGGTCTTGCCTTCGCCGCCCGGGAACGTCGGCACGAGGAAGAGGTCCGCGAGCGCCGGATCCGTCGTCCGCCGGCACGCGTGGAGCGAGGGCCGCGGCGGCCGCGTGAGGCGCCAGACGACGATGTGCGCCATCTCGTACTGGCCCGTCGGCCGCTCCTCGGGGATGGCCTCGGAGCAGCGCGGCCCGAAGACGTCGTCCGCCGACAGGGCCGCGACGGCGTCGAGCGACGCGTTCACGGGCCAGAAGGCCGCGTGGTCGTAGATGTAGACGGACGGGCAGGGCTCGTCGTCGAAGAGGGGCTTCACCGGGAAGTCGTACGCCTCGCGCGCGCGAGCGGACGTTCCCTCGGAGACCGCGATTGTGAGGAAGAGGCGCCACATCACCGACGCTTCAGCGGCGGCGGCGGGCGGCTCCGGCGGCCACCGACGCTTCAGCGCGGCGGCGGGCGGCTCCGGCGGCGGCTCCGGTTTGCAGCAGAGCGACGAACCACGCCTGAATCGTCGAGTCGTCGCAAAATTTTGATTTTGCCACTGCTTCGAGGACTTGGCTACTAGTATCTCTTGGCTGGGCACTGATCCCTCCGAGACGCCTAGGAGCTCGCGACGATGCGTCTGGGCGCCCCGACCAACCTGCGCGACCGAATCACCTTACGATCGACCTCCGGCTCCGCCTGGTCGGGCTCGGCCACGACCCTGTCGAGGAGGTCGCGTTCGCTGCCGCGGCCGCGAGCGCCGCGTTCGCTGCCGCGTAGCGCTTCAGGAGGGGCCGCATTTTGTCAGGAGTGGCGTTGTCGCGAGCGGCGACGGCTCCCGCGAGGACCTCCTCGCACCCGCCTCCGAAGCTGACCTCCGGCGAGCAGACGGAGCGCATGGTGTCTCGGACCGCCGCGGCGTTGTCGACCTCGCTGAGGATCGGGCGCGTCTGGTGAATGGCGAGGAGCGGCTTCTTCGTCGTCTTCATCGTCGCGTTCGCGCTCGCGTGCAGAAACTCGAAGACCTCGGCCCACCGCGCCTCCGCGTCGCTCGAGCCGGCGACGAGGTCCTCGTACGCGAGGAACAGCGACGGGATGTCCGCGTAGTAGCCGACGACTGTCGCGCGCGCCTCGAGCCTCTTGACTATAACCGAGACGAGCTTCACGCCCTCGAAGAGAGTCACGTTGCCGCGCGCGGAGGCGAGCTCGGCCTCCGTCTTCGGATGCGCTTGGGCGTCCCCGAGCTGGTTGTTGGCGGCGTTGCTGATCTCGCGGCGAAGGAGGTTCCGGCGGAAGAGGTAGATAATGCTGGTGCCCGTGCGGCGCCTGGACGAGGGGGGTGCGCGGACGGTCGGCGAGCGCGCGGAGGGCTGGGGGGCGCGCGGACAGCCGGGGGACGGGGTCCGCCGTGCGCACGATCGGGAACGCGGACGCCGGGGCGGCGACAGGTACTCGACGATGCGCGCGTGGTGGATGCTGTGGCCCTGGTTCGTCCTACGCAAGGACACGTCGGGAGTCGACGAGACGCGGACGCTGGTCGCCGGACATCCACTTGAAGCCCACGGCGGCGGCCTGCCGCCCCTCGCAGAGGCTGCGATAGTCGGCCTCGATCACCGCCTCCATGTGCTCCCAGCTGGCCCGGACGTCGCCGACCTGCGATCGCGCGACGGTCGCGGGTCGGGACGAGACGAGCGGACGAGCGGACGCCGCCGCCGACGTCCAATTTTTGATAGCCGACGAAGAGCGCGCTTTTCGGGAGAACGACACGTTCGCCGAGAACAACAAGCGGCTCGACGGCGCGAGCGAAGCTGACCTCGGGGTGCGCGTTGATCTTCTCTAGGAAAAATCCCGTACCGCTTCGCTGCTCCGAGAGCAAAACATACCTCCGGCAGGCGGTGTAGGCGAGCGCTTTGGTGATCAGGAGGAGGCGCCACATCACCGACGCTTCAGCGCTGGCGATGGGCGGCTCCGGCGGCCTCCGATGCTGGGGCAGCGGCCGGCTCGGGCGCCATAAGAAGGCTGCCCTATACAACTCGAACTCAAGGTGCACGATGAAATTCGACCAAAAAGATCGCCCACCTTGCGGTTTTTAGGCCTCCGGCTCCGGCAGCGGCAGCGGCGGGCGGCTCCGGCTTCGCAGCCGATCGAAACCAGCCCACGACGCTCAAGCGAGGCGTCGCTGAGAATAGACATCGCCACAGCGATCCTCTCCATCCCTCCCAGGCGCCTCGGAGGGAGCGGCGATGCGCCTGGGCGCCCCGACCCACCTACGCGACCGAATCACCTTAGGAGCGACCTAAGGCTCCGCCGGGTCGGGCTCGGCCATGACCCTGTTGAGGAGGTCGCGCATCTCGCCCGCGGAGAGGACGCCGTCGTGGTTCTTGTCGAGCTGCTTGAACCTCGACCGCTCCTTCTCGAACTTGGCGTGGAGGTGCTGGGGCACGCGATCCAGGAAGCCGGCGAACTCGGCCTCGGTCAGGCCCGCGCCCTGGTCCATGAACTCGCAGTCCGCCGCGACCTTGTCCAGCAGGCTCCGGTCCATGGCGCGCATGTTGTCCTTCATGCTCTTCTCGAAGAGCTTCTGGATCCCCTCGAGCGAGTTGCGCACGCCGGCCAGCTTCCGGTTCTCCTCGGCCATCTTCGCGTTGAGCGCCCTGTGCTTGTCGTTCTCCTCGGCCATGCTCGCGACCTCGGCGGCCTGCCGCTCGACGGACGCCTCCAGCGCGTCGTTCGTCGCCGCGAGCTTCTCCGTCTCCTCGGCGAGCTTCGACAGCTTGGACTCGAGCGCGGCGTTGGACTCCGCGAGCCGCGCGTTCTCGGCGGCCATGGCCTCCGTGTTCGCCGCGAAGGCGCTGTTCGTCTCCTGGAACTTGGCGTTCTCGCCCGACAGCGCGCCGACCTGCGCCTGCAGCTCGGCGGTGCTCGCCGCCAGCTTCTCGTTCTCCCGGGCCATGGTCTCGTTGTTCCTCGCGAAGGTCTCGTTCTCCGCGGCCATGGCCGCGACCTGGCCCGCGAGCTTCGCGTTGTTCTCGGAGAACTTCTCGTTCTCGACGGTCATGGCCGTCACCTGCGCCTCGAGCTTCTCGTTGTTCTCCGCGAACTGTTCGTTCTCCTCGCCGAGCTGCGACACCTGCGCCTCGAGGGCCTCGTTGTTCTTCGCGAAGCGGTCGTTCTCCGCCTCCATGCGGTTTACGTTCTCCTCGAGCTTCACGTTCGACGCCTCGAAGCGCGCGTTCTCGCCGGCCATGCGGTCGACCTCGCCCTCGAGCTCGTTGATCGCGCCCTCGAGCCGCTTGTTGTTCTCGGCGAACTTGTCGTTCTCCCGCGACATGCGGTCGACCTCGTGCGTGAGGTTCGCGAGCGCGCCGTTGAACGCGGCCGTGATCCGGACGCGCAGGCAGCCCGCGTCGGGCTTCTTGTAGTTCGTGCCGACGATCCGCAGCTTCCGCTCCGTCTCTGTGCCCGACACGAACTCGGCCGCGCTCAGGCACGCGGTGCCCATGAGCTTGTCCTTCATCATGTTGCAGTCGAAGACGCGGAAGTAGACGACGTCCTCCGGGTCTTTCACGGCCATTTGGAAGTCCTCGTCGAACTTGGGATCCAGCGTGCCGGACACGGTCTTCGTGACGACGCGCTCCTTGGCGCTCCAGTCGGGCTCGCCGCCGTCGACGGCAGAGGCCCGCGCGCAGCCGTAGAGCTCGACGTAGGGGTCGCTCTTGTTGAAGAGGCCGTCCTTGTTGGGCAAGCCCGTCGCCTCGACGACGGTCACCTTGAAATCGTAGCCCATGCTGCCCAACTCCGAAATTCCAGGTGCATCGTTTAACGTCGGCCAGCAACTCGATCGGCTTCGCGAGGTGGACGCAGCGTTCGCCGCCGCGACGCGCCCTCAAGCCCCGGGGCCCGGGGACGCTCGCCCGCCCCGCCGCCGCACCGCGCGAAGTGTCGGACCGCGCGCGGACGAAACAAAAAACGATGGCGGACTCGCACCAGTACATGACCTCCGGGGCGAAGCGGCAGAAGGTCGACGAGTACGCGGGCTACGCCGCCCAGGCCCAGTACGGCGCGGACAAGGCGCACCAGAAGCAGGCGAGCGCCTACGAGTTCAGCCAGCACAAGATGAACACGGCCGTCGCGCAGTCGTCGGGCCGCGCGCGCGCGCCGGCGTCGAAGATCGCGATCCGCCACGCGGCGGGCAAGACGTGGCGCGACGACACGCTCGAGCAGTGGCCCGAGGGCGACTTCCGGCTGTTCGTGGGCAACATCGGCAACGAGGTCACGGACGAGCTCCTGAGCCACTCGTTCGGCCGCTACCCGTCGCTGTCGCGGGCCAAGGTCATCCGCAACAAGCACACGAACAAGTCCAAGGGCTTCGCCTTCATCTCCTTCATGGACCCCTTCGACTGCGCCAAGGCGCTCCGCGAGATGACGGGCAAGTACATCGGCAACCGGCCCTGCAAGCTCATGAAGTCCACGTGGAACGAGCGCACGCTCTCCGAGGTCCGCAAGCGCGACAAGAAGAAGCGCAAGGCCCAGCAGTCCTGGGGCATCTCCTCCTAGGGTGGATTGGGGGGTCCCTAAGCGCGCCTAGACTGGATCGCGGCGCAGAGGGGCGCTGCTTGAACCGATAGGCTACCGATGTTGCCTCACTTAGTTAGGCCTTCACTTGTTGCCCTCCAGTCCTCGGCAAAAAAATCGCCTCTCGCCACGACCACACTTGGCAGTGGCGCCTCGCGGCATGCAGCCCGGCGGCTACGGACCGCCGCGCGGCGGCTACGCGCCTCAGCCGCCTCGAGCGATGGCCGCGCCGCGACCCGTGACCGCCCAGGGCGCGCCCGCGCAGCAGCCGCCGAGCGCTCTGCGGCCGCCGGCGCCGCGGCCGGCCTACGCGCCCAACGGCGCCGCACCGGTCGCGCCGCGGGCGCCGACGTCCATGGCCCGCGGACCCGTCGCGGCGCCGCGCGGTCTCGCGCCGCGCGGCTTCTCGGCGCCGCGCGGCCCGGGGACGGCCGCGGCGCCGCGGCCGGCGATGGCCGCGCAGCCTCGCCCAGCGATGGCGGCGCAGCCTCGACCCGCCATGGCCGCGGCACCGCGCCCAGCGATGGCCGCGCAGCCGCGACCGGCGATGGCCGCGCAGCCGCGGCCGGCGGCGGCCGCGGCGCCGCGGCCGGCGACGGCCGCGCAGTCGCGACCCGCCATGTCGTCTCCTATGGCCGCGCACCCGCGACCCGCGATGGCTGCGGCGGCTCCGATGCAATCGCGACTGGCCGCGCAACCGCGACCTGCGATGGCGCCGATGCAACCGCGACCCGCGACGGCCACGGCGCCCCGCCCGGCGATGGCTTCGCAACCACGACCCGCGATGGCGGCTCCTATGCAACCGCGACCGGCGATGGCGGCGCAACACGACCGGCCATGGCTCCTATGCAACCGCGACCGGCCATGGCTCCTATGCAGCCGCGACCCGCACCGGCGGCTCCCGCGCGACCGGCGGCGGCCGCGGCGCCTCCGCCCGCCTTCTCGCGGCCCGGCGCGCCCCTATCGGCGCCCGGCGCCTACGCGCCGCCGCCCGCGCCCGGCGCCTACGCGCCGCCGCCGGCCCCGGGCGCCTACGCGCCGCCGCCCGCGCCCGGCGCCTACGCGCCGCCGCCGGCCCCGGGCGCCTACGCGCCGCCGCCGGCCCCCGGCGCCGCGCCGGTCGCGCCGGCCATGTACGCGCCGCCGCCCGGCGCCTACGCGCCGCCGGCGGCGGCGGCGCCCAACGGCCACCGGCCGCCCGCGGTGCCCGCGTCGCCGGGGAAGAAGTCGTCGCGCATCAACCCGGCGCAGATGCCGCGGCCGACGGCGGAGATGTCGCCGCTCCGCGAGCCGCCGCGGGACCACGCGGCGCGCCTCGAGGACCCGTCGGCCGCGCCGCCGCCGACGTGCCGCTACGTCGTCGCCGCGCCGGAGCCCGGCGACGCCGTCGCCAACTGCTCGCCGCGCTACGCGCGGTGCACGACGGCGTGCCTCCTGGCCGCCGCGGACGCGCAGGCGCGCGCGAAGCTGCCCCTGGCGGCGATCGTGCGGCCCATGGCGAAGCGCGCGCTCGGCGAGCGGGCCGTCGACCTCGTCGACTTCGGCGCCGCGGGGCCGCCGCGGTGCGGCGGCTGCAAGGCCTACGTGAACTGCTTCTCGCGGTGGACCGACGCGGGCGACGCGTGGACCTGCAACCTCTGCGGCCACGGGACCGACGCGCCCCAGTGGTACCAGTGCGGCGTCGACGGCTACGGCCTCCGCGCGACCGCGCGCAGCGGCCGGAGCTCGACGCCGCGTCCGTCGACTTTGTCGTGAAGAAGGACTACTGCGTGCGCGACGTCCAGCGGCCCGTCGCTGTCGCGCTGATCGACGCGGCGCTGCTGCACGTGCCCGGCGCCGTCGAGGGCGTCCTCGCCGCGGCGCGCGCCGCGCTCCTCGGGCCGGCGCCCGCGGTGCTCGGCGTCGTCTCCTACGGCGGCGCGGGCGGCTGCGCGTTCTGGCGCGTCGCCAAGGAGACGGGCGCCGTGAGCCTCGTGACCGTGCCGGACCTCGACGAGCCCTTCTGCCCGCTCGCGCCCGAGGAGTGGCTGCTCGACGCCGAGCGCGCGGCGGCGCTCCTCGACGAATTGCCCGCGCTCCTCGCGGCCGCGGGCGGCGCCGCGCCGGCGCCCCGGGCCGGCGCCGCGGCGCTCGCCGCCGTCGCCGACGGCCTCGCCACCGCCGGCGGCCGCTGCTTCCTCTTCGCGGGCCGCGCCGTCGAGCTGCCGCCGAAGTCGAAGCTGGCGCTCGTCTGCGCGGGCAACCAGGTCGGCGTCGACGCCTTCTGGGCCGACCACGCGCCCAACGCCGACGCGCGCGACGCGCGGGCCCTGGCGCGGCTCTGCCGCGCGACGGGCGGCCTGCTCCACTACTACGACGGCTCCGACGGCGCGTCGCTCGAGCGCGACGTCGCCAAGGCCGCGGACGGCTACCTGCCGGCGGAGGACTACGGCGGCGCCCCGGCCCCGAAGGCCGAGGGCGGCCACTACGCCCACGAGGCCGTGCTCAAGGTGCGCTGCTCCGCGGGGCTGAAGGTCGCGGACTACGGCGGGCCCGGCGTCGTGCGCGCCGTCGGCGAGCACGAGTGCGCCGTCGTCAAGGACGGCACGTCCTTCACGGTGAGCCTGCGGCGCGACGGCGACGTCAAAGAGGGCCACTTCGCCTTCCTCCAGGCGGCGCTCCTCTACAGCTGCCCGGCGACGGGCCGGCGCCTCGTCCGCGTGCACAACGTCGCGCTGAAAGTCGCGACGAAGGCGTCGGATCTGTACCGCCACGCGGACCTGGAGACGTGCTTCGCCGCGCTCGTGCGCGACGCGCTGGCCGCGTCGACGCTCGTGCGGGCGCGCGCCGTGACCTTCGACGACGACGACGACGCCGCGGACGCGCGCGACGCGGCCGCGGCGCGCGACGCTAGGAAGAAGGCCGCCGCGGGTGTGGAATTCAAATCTTCAACCCGACTTCAATGTGCGCATATGCGACAGTTTCGACGCAAGTTTTCGGTTGTGCTTCGAGAACTCGACGAGAGCAATCGATTCGTCCAAAAATCAGCCGAATCGACTTCGATTTGATCGAGCTAGAGAATTCTGAAGTTTGGTCAGGACCACCCAAACCAGTGGTTGAATTCCACACAGGCCGCCGCGGCGCTGTCGGCGACGCGCGACGCGCTCGTGAAGACGTGCGTCGACGTGCTCTACGAGTACCGCGTCGCCTGCGCGTCCAAGTCGCCGGCGGGCCAGCTCATCCTGCCCGAGTCCATCAAGCTGCTGCCGCTCCTGGCCGTCGGCGCCTTGAAGGGTCCGCTGCTCCGCGGCGGCGCGGACGAGTCGGGCGCGGGGCCCGACGCCTGCGACCGCGCGGCGACGCTCGAGGCGGCGCTCGTGGCGCCGACGGCGGCGCTGGCCAAGGTCGCCTACCCGCGGCTCTACGCGATCGCGCCGGGGGCCGACGCGCCGGTTTTGGAGGCCGTCGCGTCGTCGGGCGACGCCGAGGTCGACGCGGGCGACGGCCGCGCCTTCCTCCTCGACGCGGGCCACCAGTTTTACGTCAAGCTCCCGGAGCGCCTGGCGCCGGCCGCGCGGGACCAGCTCCTCGGCGCGCTGGGCGCCGCGCGGCCGCGGCCGCGCGCGCGCGACGACGACCGGGGGCGGGGGACCCCGCTCGAGGACGCGCTCGCGCCCCTGGCCGACGCGCTCGACCGCGACGGCCTGCGCGCGCCGGCGCTGCGCCTCGTCGACGAGCCGGCCTTCGCCGGCCAGGCGGCCGTGGGCGACGCCGCGCACCGGCATCGACGCGCGGCGACCGCGTTCGCGAACCTCCTCGTCGAGGACAAGACCATCCACGGCATGTCCTACGTCGACTTCCTCTGCTCCATCCACCGCCAGATCCAGACGAAGATGACGTCCGCGAACTATTAGCGTGGCGGGGTATGTGTCTAGTCAGCGGCGCCGGACTCGGACCGCGTCTCGCGGATGGCAGATGAAGTGCGGGTCTGGATACTGCGTGCCCATAACAGGGCCCCTCGGGCCCATCGCACCGTCGCGGCGCGCAAATGGGCCGCCCGGCGCGCTGCCGCCCAACAACATGCCAATCATCATCGGAGCGATAGAATCCTTGTCGTTTGGGTCGAGGAACGTGATGTCCTGGTCACTGAGGCTTTGGAACGTCCCGCCCGTCTCCGGATCAATACAGAGGGCCTGCGTCCCAGAAGCCTTGTGCTCAGTCAAAGCAAACCCTCCGTCGTCGATCACTGCACGAAATTTGGCCTCGAGAGTATGCGCGCAGATGACATTCGTCTTGCGCAAAATCGGCGTACAACTCGCCTTGTGGCGCTTCCACGCTTTTTTCTGGCACTCTCGTCCGCAGAACCACGTCGATTGACAGCCCGCGCAAAGACGGAGACGAACATCAGCGCTCGGCGGCTTCTGGCAGACGAGGCAGACCATAGACTTTGACGAATAATGCTCCAATTGAAGCTCCCGGCAGGTCTCGTGTATCTCGCGGTCCGTGTAATGCGGCCGCGGCGTCCCGTCCTTGAGCCGCGCCATCACGCCGAGGAGGTAGCGCACCGCGTCCGATTCGAAGAGGTCCACGCCGCGCTCCCGCTTGTGGGCGCAGCACGCTCGGAGATCCTCTTTAGCAGCCTCCAGATTTCCCCGCGCGAACTCGGCGAAGCCCTTGAGAAACAGCATCGCATCCAAAGGTACGCCGCCTCCGAGAAGCCCACTGAGCAGAAGGTACGATGCGGTCGCGTCTTCGATCACGGCGTCGTACTCCCGCAGATTCGTGCGGATTTTCCCAAGCAGGTAGAAGCCGGTCCCCAAATACAGCATGTAGATTTGGCTACCCCGCGGCCGGAGCGCTTTCACATAGCCATCGATCAATTCCGTGAGGCGCTCCGCCATTTCCTTCAGCGCGCCATCGTCGAGGTCGTCGTCTAGATACGATCGGTTCATCTGGTCGTGCGCCGCCCAGAACTCCGTTTCGAATGGTTCCGCTTCGCCGAAGCCGGTCTCAATCTCGCCAGTCCACAAGCATCGCAGCTCGTTAGCGGGCCCGGAATAGCCGCGCGTAAGCTGATCGTCATAAGCATCGATGATTTGCCGATTTAGTTCTTCCAAGCGAGAGACCGTGCGCTCGCCCACACTGCGGAAGTCGCTCGGGATTTCATTCATCGTTCAGACACGCGTGTAGCGCGCGAAGATCCGCGCGCGCCGCGCTGCGGGGTCGCGCGCGCGAAGGCCAGGCCCCACAGTGGCCCCACCTCGAGACAGAGCCGCGCGTCAAGATCTCGTCAAGTGCAGTGCTCGTCGTGTCGTTGAACTCAAAACAGCGAGCGCCGAGCGTCGAGCCGCGCGCCCAGTTTGCTGCGGGGTGGAGGTTACAAAGCGACGGGCGCGTGGGTGCTTCGCGCGCTCGCTTCCTACCAGTCGAGGCTGTCCTTGTTCGCGGCGGCCTCGGACCCCTCGGAGTAGAACTGGCGGAACCACTTGCGCAGCTTCGGCAGCGGCCCGTCGCCCTGGACGAGGACGGCCTTGTCGCGGAAGCGCTTGTTGGACCAGACGAAGACGTCGGCCTGCCACTGGGCGATCCAGTTGCCGACGACGTACCAGACCAAGGCCGACGGCATCGTCAGGTCCGCGTACCAGGAGAAGTGGATCTTCTGCTTGAGCGGGCTCAGGGGCGTGTGGCAGTGGAAGAGCGTGATGCCGCCGATGGGCGTCTCGAAGGTGAAGAAGACCGCCGACGCGGGCCCGACGAACGTGATCGTCGCGTCCGCGTCCGACCCCTTGACGTCCGCGCCGTTGAACTTCAGCGACGCGTGGTCCAGGAACCAGGCGCACTGCTTCCCATCGTCGTCGCCGTCGCCGCTGCCGCAGCTCCAGCCGGGCACGTGCTTCACCGTCACGAGCGGGATCGAGCCGCCGAACCACGGCACGACCATGTCGCCGTGGAGGGGCTGGAAGTGCGCGAAGTCCGCGGAATTCTCCGCGAACTCGGCGATGTGCATGTCGACGTCGACGGCCATGGAGCCGCAGTAGCGCACGGGCCGCCGCTCGTCCGCGCTGAGCATGCGCAGCTTCGGGAGCTCGTAGCTCGGCGGCGCGCCGTCCGCGTGGAACCAGACGAAGACGTTGCCGTACCACTCGTGGACGGCGTGGGGCGCGCCGTGGGCCGCCGCGGGGATCTTCTTCGACGTGTAGGGCACGTCCGTGCACGTGCCGTCGCCCGCGAAGGTCCAGAGGTGCATGGGGCACTGCGCGCAGTCGCCGACGACTTTCCCCCCGACGCCGAGGTGCGCGCCCATGTGGGGGCAGTAGGCGTCGAGGCAGCCCACGAGCCCCGTCGTCGCGCCGCGCCAGAGCACGTACTCGCGCCCCAAAGCCTCGACGGCGACGGGCGGCGCGCCCGCGACGAGCTCGTCGGACGACGCCAGCACGAACCAGCCTGCGAGGAACTCGAATCTTCCACCCGACTTCAACGTGCGCGTCATCGAACGGTTTGGACCAGACGCTTCGGCGTCGCTTCGAGGACTCGACGAGAGCGATCGATCCGTCCAAAAATCAGCCGCATCGACTTCGATGTGGCCGAGCCGGAGAATTTCAAAGTTTGGTCGGGACGTCCCGAACCGGCGGTTGATTTCCACGCGGGACCCAGCCGTTCGGGTAGGCCGGCGGGTAGGTCTTCAGGCGCAGCGCCTCGCTCTTCTTCGTGTGGTGCGCCGCGGCCCACCGCTGCTCGGCGACGGCGCGCCGCACGGCGACGAAGCGGCTGAGCCACGCGAAGGCCTCCGCGGCCGCGGGCAGCGCGACCATCGCGACCGCGGCGTACAAGCCGTCGCGGAAGAGGCCGCCGAAGGCCAGGGCCGCCAGCAGCTCGCGCTTCGCGGCCATGGTCGCCAGCGCGCGCGGGGCGACGCGGTCCACGCGCGTCGACCGGTAGGTCGTCGTCGTCTCGGCCGCGGCCGCGTGGTCGAAGGCCGACCGCGCGAGGAACGCCGCGACGGCGCCCAGGAGCGGCGCCGCGGCGACGGACACGGCGAGGGGCGCGGCGCCGGCGCCGGCCATGGACACGCCGGACGCCGCCGCCGCCCGGCCGGCCCAGAACGCGACGGCCGCGTCGTCCCACGCCGCGCGATCGCGCTTGTCGACGAGCGCGCGGAGCGCCAGCGCGGCCGGCACGGCGAGCACGGCCGTCGACGCCCGGCCCGCGGCGACGAGGCAGGCGTAGAGGGCGACGACGGCGGGCACGACGACCATGAGCAGGAGCGCGCTCTTCTGCGGCGGCGGGGTGGCGTCTTTGGCGACGTCGTGGAGGTCGCAGGTCGCCGGCTTGGGCGCGGCGGGCGTTTTGTACTCGCCCTTGATGTTCGGCCGCGGCGACGGCGGCGCCTCGGGCTGCGGTTCCGCCATGGTGTGGCTCTGGAATACCACCGGCTGGGCAGCCTATCGACCGCTCTGAAACCAAAAGAAGAACAGCACCCGTGCGGCATCGAAAGTTGGTGCAGGACTGTTGCATTGCAGTCTACTAGGCGACAGCATGGACTTTGACTCGGCCTAAGCCGTCTTTCCGGGCCACTTTTGACGAAATGGCGGAGGAGAGCCTCGTCTGGCTGGGCCCGCTGACGGGCCAGTGGACGACGAAGACGCTCAAGGCGCTGCTCAAGCGCCTGTTGAAGGACGACTTCGCCAAGGTCACGGACGTCGACTTTGGCGAGGAGGACGACTTCCTCGAGGCGGAGCGCACGAAGGGCCTCGAGGTGCCCTGGAAGAAGGACCGGACGAAGCACACGGGCGTC